GTCTATTAATCTGTGGATTTATATTTCTGCATAATTTCTTACCTCTTGGGATTTCTTTCTTCCCATGCCAAGTTATCTATTATTACTAATTTTATATATTTCAGTGTTGTAGTTTTGCTGCACCTGAAGGGTTTTCTCTGAGTATCTAAGTTATAATAATGTAGAAATGGACATATAATAGGATATTTTTAGTCTGGGGTTGGATTTCTGCTGATTCAGTGACACTTCTCATAGGTAACCCCTTGGCGAGATAATTAACCAGATGTTGAAGGGAAAATGTATGTCTGGGGAACAGAGCTGTTTTCTACAAGAAGTCAATTTACCCACATGTTTGCAGGCCCCGAGATGAAGCCTGATACAATTTTGAGCATCTACAATGTTTTTTTAACCAGTTGAATTTACCAGTCTTTCAAAATTTCAATGATAAACCAAAAATATTCCATATCATTATAATAGATTTTTAATTTATTGCAGGGCTCTTTTCAAGACCCTAAAACATAGCATTTATTTCTAATTTAAGCAATTAGAATCCTGGCCATGATGAGTGCTAATTTTTGCTGCTCATAAGAACTTCTCTCACAACCACAATGAAAGAGAAAGGAGAGATTCGGTTGCTAGGGCAGGTATAGCAAAATCACAGAAGGTAAACATCTTGGGGACTATTTTCAGCATATAATACATTCTTTCAGTGACACTAGGACTGTGGCTGAATATACAACAACTGACTCCTTGGCACTATGTTTGCAATTTTCAATGTAGTTTTATTTTTTCTATAAGCATATTAAGGAGGTATATGACAAATTTACAATTGCACACAGAACTTTCCCTGATGGTTCAATTCAATAATTTCTTCAAATTTTATTTTTGTTTCATTCATTTTAACTAAAACTAACATTTCAAAATGTAGATTTGTTCCAGGGAAACAACTTGATGGGTAGAGATTGAGGTCACATATGCTACATTCAAAGGGCAATGTTTTTTTTTAAGTACTCTCTGTATAAATTTTGTTCGGTCTGCATATTCTTTGATTGGACCAATATTAAGCTTGCATCAATTTTTTTATTGTTCATTTCCTAGTTCAAATGAAATTCTTTTTAAAAAATCTCTTAGGTGCTATATTTTATATTTGCATTAATTTTTCTACTTTTAGAAATACATTTAGAAAAAATTCTACTAGTAATAATTCTACACATACAATTTAAGAAAAGAGAAATGGAAGTACAATAAAAAATTACTCAGATTTCTACTACCCAAACACATCTGTTGACATCTGTTTAATTTTCACATTTACTTATTTTATCTAAAGTTGTTTTATAAAATTGAGGTATGTGCTATATATATATATATGTATATGTATATAGTCTTATGTTACATTAAATCCACTCTTAACATTTTTCTCTTGTCATTAGAAATTTTTTCAGGAAAAACATGTCACAGATCCTTGTTGACTCTCCAGGTTGGATTCCAAAAGAGAAAGGGTCATTTTATTAAAGCTCTTAGTCCCCCCACCTCATACTCTTTCTTCCTCAACCTCCCTGATCTTCCTCCTGTTTTATTTCTTAAAGATAAGGTTCTATGGCTTTCTATGCTTCAACAGATTTAACTAACAATACCTTATTTTCCCTATCAAAACTTCCTCTGAAAATCCTAATTACTATGAAGTGTTATTCATAGTACTTCTAAAAACTAAGACTAACATTGTTAAATAGGGAAACAAGTTCTCTTGGTGAGAATGTACTAAGAAAAAAGAAAAGAAAAACATTTATTAACTCATTCTGTGCTCTGTGTATGTTTTAATTTCTGACCTATAATAATAAAATCCATTTTTAATCCTCAAAAAATGGTAAGTATTTATTAGCATTCAGAAAATCTGGCTATCAACCTAATCTTTACCCTGTCTTACACAGAGCAGAGCTATTAGTAACTGTATGATCTATACTATTGCCCTCCAATCCCCTCAACTGGAATTTCAGTACATTAGCACTCTACTTTGTGGCCATTAATTTTCTAGTCTGTCAGGGTGTTATTGGACCTATTACTTCCTCACTCTCCTCTACCACTCCATCATATTCATAAATTAGGTGCTCTGTCTGCAGCTCTTCAATAGCATGTGCTCAGTATGAACTTTCAAGAAGGATGTGGGCTATATACCATATTTTGCCATGTATAGTGTGAATTTTTTCACCAAATTTTTGAGGGAAAAAATAAGTGTATGCATTATATATGGGTAGTACTGCTTGGAGCAAAGAGCCCAAGCCTCCCAGGGCCACTGCACCCTCCTGCCTGGGTCCCCCAGGTTCACAGGGATCCAGTCCAGGACGATCTGGAATTCAGTGAGAACAGGCCACAGATGCCTCTCTAAATGCCATGATCAGAGGAGGGAGCAGTGGCGGGGTTGGGGAGGCGGACGTGCTGTGCAAAGGCCAATGCTAGAGGCCTGGCTGCACAGAGGGGTCTGGGAGCTCTGCACAGGTCCCAGGGACATGCCTGGCCACCCATGGAGATGAGCAGCCTCAGAAAATCCCATCCTGCTGGCTCCATGCATGGCCATCTTGACCTTGGCCCGCTATGTGGCAGGGAGAGAAAGGCTCCCAGGAGAAAGGGCAGGCTTTATAGAGCAGGTAGCTGTGGGAGGGTGGCACAGTCTGCATACTTACCAGGGAGCATTATCCCTTCCCAGATGTGTCTCTCCTGGCCCATAGCTGACCACTTTCTTGAGGGGCATTTTTGGGAATGTTTGGGGGGGGGCAATGTGGGTATTATACATAGGAGCGCATTATACAAATGCAGTACCATCTTGTATCATGCAGTTGTTAACCTGTAATGCCTTTGAGTCAGAGCAGGACTAGGAGAGATGCTGAAAGCAGAACAGGTCTGAGATAACAGATAATAATAATAGATTCTGAAATCCTGGGAGAGAGGATACACATGTTCACCTCCTTCCAGCAGAGCCACGTGGTATGGAGGCCCAACAGACACTGGGAAGTGGAACTACAGTCTTCCATAGCTCATTACCAAAGTTTCTCAAATATGTTTATATCAATTAACTCGACTTTACCATTTCCTTTAGCTCCATGTGCTCTGTCTTTAATCTACACTGCTGTGTTCTAACAATATCCTCAAAATTTCAACAACGACTTCCTCCCAAACCCAGTGGACTGTTTTTAGGTCTTTATTCTTGGGTTCTCCACAACACATCATTGTTGAAAATTCCTTCCTTGAAATTCTTTCTGCTCTAATTTTTAGTTTCTCTACACTAGCATTTTCTACAGTATTTCCTTCAAATCAGTGGTCTAAAAACATGTGATTCAAAAGAATATTTATGGGGAATTAATTTTGCCAAACACTGCATCCCTGGAACACTCATAATCCTAATTAACATATTAAAGTCTCTGTGAAGTCTGACAGTAAAAGGAACTTGCATAACTGTGGTAAATCCAAGGTTTCCAAACTTTTTGGAATATGGCATTCATTTCCCCACAACAGCTATCTTATTTCAACTTTTCTAAGACATACATGTTTATCACATTTTAACGTTAGGTCATGTCTCATAACCAATGGCATTTTAAAATCACTGCTAGTCATGATGTAGTTGTCATTTCCTGTGCATAAACAAACATGGTCGTGACCATTCATTTTTTCATCATAGCAATTGGGTAATTTGTTTGTTGGTACTACACATGCCAATTTTAATTGCCATTTAAAATATTTTCAAAAAGCTTATGTTATAACTCAGTATTGAAACAAAAATTTATTTTATAAGCAGAAAAGTATGAAAATAGAGTAAGATACAAAATGAGATGAGTGAAGCAAATATTGGTCATTGGAGAAACAACTGCAATTGCTCAGGTTTTTCCAAAACACCAATCAATTGCTTTTTGGGGCCACAGGAAAGAATAACCTACACATAGGTGAATTGTATTTTGTTACTGAAATATGACACAATGAAGCATTGTCATTGAAGAGTGGAGAAATTGAAAAATCTCCAAAATAGACAAAAGATATTTCAATAAATGACGGTCTGGTCTCATAGGACTATTATTACTGTTAAAGCACTGTATTATAGTTTAATTGTCAGTATTTTTTTAAAACTTATAGGCACACAAAGTAATGGTGTATCCTACAATTGATGGTATCCTGGTTTTCTAAAACACAGCATGAACAGGCCATGAAATTAGTGCTCTTTATTTATGAAGTACTAGTCTAATTATCCTCATATTCTAACAATTGACTAATTCACACTCTTTTTTCCACTGCACTAAATATCTGTGGCCTCTTCACTAGTTTGGTTTAGTTGTGACCTTTCTTCACTTTTTCTTAAGTATAGTGACGAGATTCCATCCGTCTTTTCAAGCTGAGTTTATTGGACTCACATTCTCCCAGGCATCCAGATGTAAGGTATTATGACCATGGAGGCAAAAGTGCAAAAGTCAAACTCAACATCTGCAAAGAGACAACCTCAAATTCATGGATAGTCCTGACCCTGTGCATGGGCTTCACATGCTCTTCACCATGAGAGGAAAACACTGAGATCCCCTGCGTCAGTAAGTCTGTTCCTCTCTCCTTTCAGGATCAGAACTGTCTCTAATACATCATGGGCCTTTAAGTCCTAAGATTCATCTTCTGATTGGTAAGATAAATCAAGCAATAAAAGTTTACACTCCCAGACTGGCAGAGAAGTCTTTGTGAAGCTATGGAGGTCAAACCTTCTCTTCTTGTCTGCAATCATAACAATCCTTAATTCTGACAATCTGGGAGAAAGTGACCAAAGGAAATAAGGAAAACCAGCAAGTAATAACCAGTGTTACAACAGGCTCACACATATCTCTAGTTATCCACATAGCACATGTGATAGATAAAATGTTCTAATACCCATTTTACAGATAAAAACATTTCATGGAAGACCATCATATTTTCAGTAATCATGAGGTTTTAAGGAGTTCAGGTGGCACTATCAACTGGGTGCCCTTAGGGTAAAACACACACCTGATTTTTTTTTTTTTAATATGGAATGCTTCACGAATTTGTGCATCATCCTAGCACAGGGGCCATGCTAATCTTCTCTGTATTGTTCCAATTTTAGTATATGTGCTGCCAAAGCAAGCACACACCTGAATTTTTAATAGCATTTTTTTGGGAGTATATCCACGTGCCTAACCATCTCTGGTGATAAGTAAAAGTCAAAATAAAAAATTCTCAAAGTAATTTAGTCCATCTTTGGACAGGTCATAGCCTACATGGGATCTCAAGCTTCAGAAGTCCTGGAGTTCAGCAAGTTAGGTAAATGAGCAAAGGGAGAAATTGCAAGAAAGATAATGAAAACCAACCCAGTTCAACTTACACCTCTGTGCAAGTGTATGGTCCACTTGCCTAATATACCATGCCCAAAGGTAGGGCATGCTTTAAATGCTTTGCCCTACTAGTGATATGCAAGAATGGCTAATCTAGAAGGTGGTGTCGAGCAGTTGAAGTTTGAATAGAGGCATCATATGATATCCAGCAGGGCTTCCCTACCATACCCAAGGCCTAATTCTGTAGGTAATAGTATATAGGTGCACAGTCATTCCCTAAGAAGTTATTTGCTGAAAACTGGGAGAAGAAAGAATTAGGCAGAACCTCAAGAATGCAACCAAATGGATGAAGTTCAAGATAGCACATGTCTCCACAGGGATAGCAAACCACAGCAGGAGATTAGAAATAAGATCTGAGCCCACTCTGCAGGGATTGAGGAATATTACCATGGAAGACTGTAGACTGATGCTAAGGCACAACTTAACTAAAGGGTGAGTCCAGGCTTCTACTTACCTAGGCCAGAACTCTTTATAATTAGGGGTCAGGACTGAGTCTGCGTGGAAATGGCATCATAAATGGCTCAAGAACCCGAGAACCCAATAGCATTTGGGGGGCTCAATAAGCATTTTTTATATGGAGAAATAGATCTCAAGAGTATGTTCATTGAAAACATGTAAAAGAATGAATGAAATACTGTATAGGAATTCATATAAGCAAACTACACAACAACAACACGAAATCTCACTGTCAGAGTGTTGAGCTACGGGAACAAGAGATAACTACTCCATACTGCATGATTCCATTGATATGAATGAAGTTCAGGAAAAAGACATAGTAGTCAATGTAAGGTGACAGAATTCGGAATAGTAGCTCCCTTTCTGTAAAAAGTTCTTAAACTGTATAATTAAGATCAGTATATTTTACTAGATGAACGTTATGACACAAAAAGGAAATACTTTTAAAGGTGCAATTCACACTATTATAAAGTTTTCTTCACATGGAATAAAATATGATCCCCTGTGTTTTCTACTCATTGTTAATAATTCCACTTATTAGGGCCCCAGAGAATATACACACACATGGTGTATGGTTCCTTTTTTAAGTCTTTCATAGCTTTAAAGGCAGCCATCACCTACCCAAAGTGCTTCCTCCTGGTTGATTGTCCCAGTTCCTTCAACCAAAACATTAAGCCCCTTCACTTGATTTTTTGGCCTTAATTGTACAGAATTTGAAATACTTTGTGACAAAGACATGATGTCAGGCAGCGCCTATGGCTCAAAGTAGTCGGGCGCTGGCCCTGTATACCAGAGGTGGCAGGTTCAAACCCGGCTCCAGCCAAAAACTGCAAAAAAAAAAAAAAAGACATGATGTCCTGGCCTTCCGAATAAAAAGCCTGCACACATTAGCCATGTCTCTAGGGCAATTTCTGGGAAGTTTCCCCAACTATTGTTGTGTTCTCTCCCCTTATAACTAAAGCAGAAGCATCTAGATCCCAATAACTATTCTAAGACACAAAACACAGGCTAAACCTTGGAAGAAAGCCCTTTTCTCCTAAAGAGACACAATTAAAAAAATACATATACTGCTTTTATGCTACTACATTTGTGGTCTATTCTGAGAGTTGTTAAAAAGAAATATAAATATGAGAATGGAATGTAAGCAACTCAGCATCAGCCCCGGAGGAGGGAGGGCGTGGCAGGAACAAAGGGTGCCTGCAGCACTTCTACCTGAGAGTGGGAGAGAATGCATTTTAAGCAACTCATCCGACATCATAAGAGACAGAGCAGGACCATGTAATACAAGTTCTCTTCTTTATTGCTATTTTAGAACTATGGCTTCATGAATCATTTCAAAATTTAGCACCATTGTCAAGAGATACCACCTTTGTGAAAGGATTACCTTGAAATACAGGATGGTTCAGGATAGAAACATATATGTCAAAATAAACATAAAGGATACATTATTTTACAGTCCAGGCCATTTAATTATGAGTTGAAAATTGTGGGAATTATGAGGAATTCTTTCCAATTTAAATGAAAGAATCAAAGGAAGAACATTTTTTAATGTATGCAATAGTAAAATGAAACCAATAGATAAACAATGAAGTATATTCAAGTGGGGGAGGAGGGAGAGGGGGAGATGAAGGGAGGAGGATCAGTGAGCTCTCCTCTAATGTGCACGATGTGAGTGTTTACAGGACACCCCTGGGTGAAGGGCTCAACTACAACTTGAACTTTACCTAGCAAATGCAAACAATGTAACCTAGTCATTTGTACCCTCATATTAATGTCAAATTAAAAAATGTGTATGTTATTTCTAGTTTTAAAAAATTATATCTTAATAATGGAATGATTATCAAATTTAAAATCAATAAAATTATTCAAATAAATGAAGTGAAAAATGGAGTGCGAAGTGTTGTTTTTGTTCATGTGTTTCGAAAGCCACAGTTTGGTCTTAGCTAGTGCTTACATGTGGTTCTGCAGAGTTAAATGATTTCTAGCATATTTCTCACAAAATCATTGAAATCTGGTAATAGTAATGCAGAGTCACAAGAGAACCAACAGGCTTCGTAGCCAAGAAAGGTCTGCAGTTCATTTCCAGCGCCACTGTTTGTCCTGATAAAAGCGATCACCGTTGTTAGAAAAGAACAACATATAAATTACGAAACCAAGTCATTAGCTATGACGATACATATTGTTAGAGTGAAATATTGATTATAAAATTAGGGCACTGATTGGCTGTGAGATGATATCAGGAGATTTCTGTTAGCTTTCTTGGGTGTGGTAACAGTACTATGTATGCTTAAGTAGGAGAGTCACCTCGTCTTTAAGGTTTGCACTGAAGTTTTTAGGAGTACAGTGTCATCCTGCCTGTATTTTCAAGTGATCTACCACAAAAAAGAAAATACGCACACCTGCACCCACATTAAAGCAAATATGGCAAAACAGTAATAATTATCGCCACTAGATGCTAGATATACAGGCATTCTTCCAACTTTTCTGTATTTACCTGGACAGAGCATAATTAACAGTTGAAAGAAGAATTATGAGGAACTTATTACAAAAAATGTTAGGCAGCCTAAAAAACTGAATCGAGGATGGCAGAACAACTCGAACATTCACCCACTTGAAGTGTGCAATTCCATGGTTTTTATATTGAATTCTCGTCGAAAGTTACGCAACTATCACCTGCCCCCAAAAGAAGTCCTGAAGCCACGAGCACTCTTCACTTCTCCTACCATTTTTGCCTTAGGCAACTACTCCTCTGCTTTCTTAAAGAAAAGTCTAAGGCGTCATCCCACTTACTGGACACTGTGTTAGGGTACAGGGCACACCTGGGGGGGGGACATAATAATAAGAGGAACTCGACCTAACAAATGCAAACTGTACAACCTATTTCTTTGCATCCTCAAATTAACCTGAAACAATAATAAATAAATAATAAAAATTAAAACTATGCTTACCATAATAAAAAAAAAAGTCTAAGTCCAGGAAATAAAGAAACTAAATACACACAGACCAAAAACACAAAAAAGTTAAAAACCAAATTTGAACTGAAATTCCGTGCCGTTTATAATACAAATGCTATCAAAACATGTTGCCTTTATCCTGTATTAATACTTAATGTTTTCAATATTGCAAACATCTAGGTCAAATAATAAGCTTCCTTAATATTCACAAGCAGAATACAGGCTTCCTCTTAACCAGTCACCAAAATAGACTTATTCTCTTTTAATTAAAGTAAAGAAGTAGGGGATATAGAAGCACAAGTCACATTGACTATAATATTCCTTCTCCTTCATTCCAGAAGGTTTGAAACTATCTGTCTGAATAATTCATCTCCAGAAACTCTAGATGTAATGAAATAGACTTCACAAATACTTACTGAAGAGAAAACAGGGTTGTAAACATGAAAGATTTCTTTTAAAAATAACAATACACTCCAGTTCTTGAGAGCAATGCTAGTTTCGGATAACAAAGTCTTTTCTATATATCATTTCTTGGGAATAAACATTTGCTATGTACCAAATTGTGTCCCCCAAAATTCAGATTGTAAGCCCTAACCCCCAGTGTAATCTAATTTAATATAATTTAAATATGTGGCCTTTGGGAGATAATTAGGCTTAGATGAGGGGATGAACATGGGGCCTCATCTACTAGATGCCAATAACAACAAGCCCTCCCCTTGTCACAACGATCAACAGAGGGTCCCAAATGCCCTGCCTCTCATTGAGAACCATTGGTTTAGGCCCCTCATAAAAACAATACTTGAATGTTATAACTTGTATTTTCTATCAAGCTCACTATTAATGCAAATAAGTTGACATACACAAAAATCAAGAAACGTAAAATCTGCGCAGATGGAAACAAATGAAGCCCCTCCCTGCCATGCTGATAAGCTGAGTAAGCTGAAACTTGCACAGGTGAATCAGAAAGGACGCTGTCATCCGTGTTTCTTGGAAGTGAAATGATGGACCATAACACAGACTGTCTCAAAAAGTTCGCAGCCAACCACGTGTGCAGCGAGAGGTGTGATATGCAGTTCACCACTCACACAAACTGAGAATTTCCTAAGTACTACTATTTTCATCATGCCATGTAGGAAAGCTCTAAAGATGAATAATTTTAGTAGCTATTATTGCCCCCACCTTCTCTTTGCTTGCTGAGATCCTGTGAAAGGAAAATAAAATTTTGTCTTAATTTTAATTAGCGATGGAATTTTATCAGGCTCCTGTGTCAATTATCACCATCTTCCAAAATTCCAAATTGGAATGGTGCACCCGTTCAAACAGCCCAGTCAAAATGCATTAAAGTG